GCTATTATCAGTGTCCCGGGATTATAGCCCCATACTTGCTCCATAATGCCCGAGGTTGGGCGAAGGGTCGGAGTTGACATTGATTGGTACATTATTACAAGGTTAAACCCTACTATGCAAATTGAGGCCCCCTCACCCCAACCTAACCCCCTATTGTAATACAATATGGCCCTCTAAATAAGTGTCCCAAAGAGGGGTACCACCGGTATATACAGTTGAAATAGAGGGGCAAGGTTAGGGTTAAAGTTATGGGTGAGGGGCCCTAAAGAACTCTTACCCACAGTCCATCTATAGACCGCTCTCGAAACTGACCAAATTTCTTTGAAACAGTACGTGTCGCGGGTAAATAAACGATTCACCCCTGCGGATGAGCGTGCATATCATTAACTTTGTGTTTGGCCCTCTAGAGACGGATTGATAGAGTAACTGTGTCTTACCCAATCATTTTGAATTAGCCGTTTTTTGTTCACTCTAAGATCCCGAGTTATGCATGAAATCAAACATAAAAACAGGACAAACAAAGTTTGGCCTCATTGTGGTGTCAAAACATCACGTGAGATTCAACAAATGTGAAGTATATTCAGGTGTATTTTTATATTTAATAACGTGCTATACACAATTGATGATGGTTACTTTGATGAAATAAGGTTATTTATCTCAATGCAATATAAAATTATTTATTACAATGATCGCTCATTTCAATACGACGCTGTGGGGGTTCATTAATGTTAAAGCAGGAGGGTGTCACCAGCACATAGCGTGGAAATTGAGTCCCAAGCGACGATTACAATACACGCTAAAAACGCAAAGGGTCATGGGTGGACGCTTGTTTGTAAACAATGACACACTATGGCCATCTGACGCATGCGCAGGTGACGACTCCCTCGCTTTAAGTTTGGAGGCTTTTTGTGATGTCATGTAAACTATTTAATTTTGATAGTATGGTGGTTTTTAAAAAGTAGTAATAGTAAAATTTAATGTGCAGAGCAGCACATCAAAAGATATTTGCATTACTTGTATTACTTTTATAAATAAACAACATGCAAAAACATATACTTGGATGCCAGATGAAAATTAGACATCATCTCAATGTGTATCTGTATACATGTGGGAAAGCGCTCGATATTTCTGATTATAACACAATCTTGTGTGTACATTGACCTCAGTTAACATCTGATAACAGGACTGCACATGGTGTCAATCGACCAATTAGAATGGTCATCTCAATAATGGTCAATGCACAGTATTATAGTAAGCTTAATTTATATTATAGCATTTTTTCCTATTTTTAACAGGAGCTAGTTCTGGTATTGGGGCAGCTACAAGCATATTATTTGCAAAACTTGGTGCAAAACTTGCATTAACAGGAAGAAATCAACAACATTTAGAAGACACTGGTAAGCAGTGTGAAGAGCAAGGATGTATTAAGGTATTTCTGATCATATTATTGCATTTTATTTTACAGGAGTCTTGTTTATTAAATTCATTCACAAATAGGGAAAACCTGGTAACTTGTGTGTTATCTTGGTATAGCGCCATCTAGAGTACTGGTGAGAATTCACTTTTTTTTTACCCTACCTAATTATTTCACCTAAATTGACCCCCTTTATACTGTAAAGGGGTTAATTATTCACTGGGTTTTAATTTTGCTTATTTCGCTGACTAGGAAATGCGCTAAATATAAACCCAGTGATTATGTAAAATTTAGCATAGAACACATTATCTAAATGATAAAACCGTGAATTTAATTAAAACCCACTGAATATGCCTGAAATGGTACATCAGTGAAATTTAAACCAGTGATAATTAGTCATTTTACAGTACTGTGGCAATTCTGCATTTGAAATTACCGCCCACCTGTTGAACACTGTCCTGCTCTGATGGCTGATACAAAAATCGTGAATAAAAAAATATGCAAATATTTTACATTTGGGAATTTAAATTGTACATTTTGTGTGTAGAGCTTTTATGGTGCTTATTATTAAAAATAATCCTGCAAGACTGATACTTTCTGACAGGGATGCTGAAATATGAAGTATATACCTGCCATTGTGTTGGTACGAAATTTAGAAAAAAATTATTTAGTCAGTTTTCGAGGTCATAGCATTTAATGGCGGTAATTTGTCATTATGATATCATCTGATGGTCGGACTTCCTGGTTGTGTTTGTTTTTATATTCAAATTGTGCATGTCCTTTGTGTTGTTAGGAGTGGTTAACACAGACATAGTTTAGTATGTTCGCACGTTGAGTGTGAAATTGTCTAGAAGGGTAGATCAAGTTTTCCAAAGCTGCCCTGCTCTGGTCTTACTTTTTCAAAATACATCACAATTTACAAAATAGTCCTGTTTATAGTCTGCATTTTCCTTCAGAAGATTGGGACGAAAATAGCAAAATGTTTTGAGTAAAAACTGAGAATTGACTCAAATTTTGTCAGTTGGCTCCTAAATTATTGAAGAGTATAGGAAAAAAAGTTCAGAAAAATTGTCGCGAGAAAGTCTGGTGGTGAAAAGGTTAAGACATCTATTTTTGACCAGTAAACAAGCGGTGTAACAAGTGTTTAACTACTTCATATGCAGACATCGATGCTACAGAACCCACAATGCAACTTGCTCACTGAGTTAAATGGTAACAAGGCCAGCACGTTACCTTAGTGTAAGGCCATGTGAGGCAGTAACTCATAAGTGAGTGTTGCCTGTACTATGATATTGTCACCACTCTTGACTTGAATACAACTGTGGCAAGGCAAGGTCATCATGGTACCCAAGTGAGGCCTTGCGACAAAGTGCATGCTGTTAGTGCCAACTTCTTAACTTTATTTACTTACTATCTTGAATGAATTGATATATGGAATTATCATAAAAATCTGAAAAGGAAAAAAATTAAGTAAAGGATTTGTTGGATGGAAAAAACTTGTGAAACTATTGAGCATATGACATATTACAAACAGGAATGTGATTTGGAACTTGGAACTTGGTTATTAATTAAGGTAAGTTGGTATATATATATGGGAAAAGAGGATTCTAATATGATTTGGAAACAAATACTATGTATGCCTTGAACTTGAAAACAGAATAGGTCATTAAAACATATCTGGTTAGTGATAGTTAGGAATGTTCATTAATCAAAACAACTGAGCTTAACTGAGCTCAACTGAGCTCAACTTGAGCCAACTTAACTTTTTGTGGGGGAGATATTAACTAATTAATTTTTTTAAACAAGGAAACAGGAACACAGCGCCCTCATGCCATGGCCATGCGCCCCTTTACCCTAGGGAGCAGATAGTCTGGCAACCATAAAATTCTGAATGACCAGGGATCACATGTGGCCACAGTCTTCAACTGATAGTAATTTTGGCCCCAAGGAAGCCATAGAATTCTCCATTTTAACTTAGAATTATCAACCCTATCTCCCCTCTTGCAGATTTTCTAGAAAAACCCCTGTTAACTTATTAAATGTTTTTCACTTTGCAGCCGCTGCTGGTTACTGGTGATATAACATCAAATGAAGTAGTGAAGAATCTTGTTGATAGCACTGTCAACCATTATGGTAAACTTGACATCTTAGTAAGTACTCAGTCAGATATCTCATCTTCCAACATGCAAAATCCTTTGGTTCATCCATTCTTGGTTATCCAAGAATTGTCAGTGTAGTTGTTACATTAAAATACTTTAAGGAAAATTCAATAGTGAAAATAAAATCCAGTGAATATACTTTTTTCCAATATTTTACATTCAACTCAACAAAAAAATCAGTAAAAAAAATCCTTACATAACACCTCAAAAGTCTTTCAGCGAAAATTAACTCCAGCTAAAATAAATTATTTATATATTATTCATGAAAATCACTGACTAACAAAAAATAACTGTATTGGAAAACAGAAGATTAAAACAAATCCTTCAAAATGTGTGTCTGTAGAATGCATGATACATCTTAAACTCTGGGTTTTATAAACCAATATCTGTTAGTACCAAATACATAGGATTGTGGGTAATTATCTGGCACTGTGCCATGCCATGTATACAACATATGCATAAAATACATTGTTTGCTTACACAAAATAATCACTGCTTGTCACCATAGTTAGGGAAGAGTAGGAAATCAAACGGGCGGTGCACCGCGGTCATTACCGCGGTGTACCGCAGAACGCCGGGGAGAGCCGCGGACTGCTTATAATTAGGGGTCTCTACCGCTGTACCGGTCTCTACCGCGGTCCTCGGTAATGTGTGAAATACGTACTTAACAGTTTCTTTGTGATTCCACGAGTCATTGTTTTAAAATCCGATGCTGTAAATGAATACGATATGTGCGCTTGTTTAGTATGTAGTACATGTATTTAGCGT